TATATATATATATATATATATATATATATATGAAAAATTCTTCCCAACGCCTATAGGCGAAAATGAACAGTGATTTCACCTATCCTCATCACCGTCCAAAGTTCATCGCACGGTCATGATTGTCCAGTTGCATTTTATTTTTTCATTTTTTTCTACAACTTGGAATAATCTAAAATTTGGAGCGCGTGTACATCTTAGTGAGGCGCACCTAATAAAAATATAAAAAAATAATTCACAAAATATTTTCTTTCAAATAAAATATTTTTTGAAATTTTTCATAGGTTCACCTATTTTTCATGAACACAAACTCCAAATTTTAGATCATTCCGATTTATAGAAAAAAATTAAAAATGAAACACTACTGGCTAATTGTGGTCGTACGATGAAATTTGGACGGTGATGAAGGTAGGCGAAATTACTGTTCATTTTCGCTTATAAGCATTTTGTAGTATCTTCCTATATGATATATATATATATTCTAAACAATCAAATTAGAGCCTACCTCAAAAATTTCTCTAGAAGATATTGTTTAGATGCCCAAATATCCTCAAATTGATCATTTTGACATCAAGATGTATGTACATGAGAAGAAAATGGATTCGCAGTTTTGGAAATAGTGTATTTTGTAATGCATTTTTGGACCACCAATTTTTAAGATTTTCAAGTTTTCATAGATTTGTCCATCTACACTATTTTTTAAGCTTTAAAATTTATAAATAAAGATGAAAATATAATTTAAGGCTAACATAAATATTTCCAGTGTTGAAACCACATTTCTCAACATTATTTGAAGGTAGGCTCTAATTTGATTGTTTAGAGCCTAGGCTCTATATAAACTGCACCATGTAGTGATTTCATGCAATAGTTGTATAGTAATATAATGCAACAACCTTAAAAAACCATCTCATCGTAATATAATGACCATACTCTAGAAACCATATTCGTGGCATTTGTACAACTCTAAAAATTACACACACTCTTTGTCCATCCCAACAACCAATTTCTCAAAAAATTAAAATTCAATTTGCACTCTAGATGTGCTGAAAATGAATCCCCTCCAACAATTAGCTCATCCATTTGGTGAACTTCAGGATTTAAACCTATTTGAACTCAAAATCAACTTTTTATGTTTTAATATTGTTCATTTAATAATTATAAGAGGTTTTATACAATGAGACTATTTACCTATGAAACAAAGAGGTCACAATTACTTTACAACCATTTGATGTGAAATCTAATATCTTAGATGTGTCATAAAGTTCAAGACAATTTCTTTTGAAATTTAAGTTTGTTCAATAAAATAAAAACAACTATCTAATTTCACATCCAATGGTCAAGATTAATTGTGATTTATGATCAACATGTATTAAAGATAAACGGTCTCATTGTAACCTCTCTAATAATAAAGCCATCTAAAAATTTTGGAAAGAGGAAAAAATTCTTCTAAGGCATAAATATAAGAATCCCCCCAAAATGGACAGCCTATATAAATTGAGTTAAAAAACACTTTCTGGGATGTGTTTTCAATTTCACTTTTTGTGGTTGTTCATTAAAATAAAAATTGTACATTTAAAATTGAGGTCAAACAAATAGCACTAAACATACTTTTTGAAGATTGTTCGACATATAATCTTTTGCCTTAACCAAACTGTGTAAACCTGCGAGTTTATATATGTCAAAATAACAGAGTTCAGGCCGTAGGTCAACGTTTCAAACTTCTTTTTCCCAAAAAGAACTTATAACTTCTAGCCCTGCTGGCCAACTGAAAAAAGAAAATGAAAATTAATGGCAATAGGTTGGAATTGGCGATCATGGAGGGCACCCTGTTTTAACTTTACAAACTTTGGGCGAATAATAAGTCAAATGCACAGCTGTATTCATCTTTTTGTTAAATAAGTTGGATCAAAATCTACAATAACAGGCACTTTTGCATTTAACTATGGCTTTGATCCCACAGTTGGATTTGGGTCTTGTGTATATATGGCTCCTCATAATTCTATATCATGCCTTACGCAAATCAAAGGTTTAAAGCCCTTTGATGTCCTATCTTGGGCTTTTGTTTTGAATAACCTTCGAAATATATGATTTTTCTTTTGTCGTTTGATAACCTTTCGGGTGTATTATTTTTCTTTTATCATTTGTATTGCCTAAAACAGATATATTCAAATTTCCAGCCTCAGGTATGAAATGATATGGAAAATAATCATATAGGTTAGCTCATATAAGACAATTGGGCCGTTGGATTGGTGGGCAGCACGATCATGAATGTCCAAAAAGGAGGAGCTATTCCATGTGCATGATGGAATGTCTCCACCCTTTCGATGTCCGTGATTACCTTGCCCATTGATCCAGCGTAGCCCCAATTTTGGCAGTTCTATACAAGCCATAAAACAACAGTCTTATGCAGGTTCTAACCCAAAACAAACTTCTTGACAGTGATCAAGATCCTTGCAATCAGAACTCGGTGATGATATGGCTTTGACAAAAATAAGACTTTGAAGATGGACAGAACGCACCAGCTTTATAATCAATAATCAGATTTTACATAATAACTGTACTTTTCTTACAAGACTGAGGCGTTACCTGCCCACAGTTGAAGTTGATGATGCATTTCTACATCTTGTAAGCACGCATCAGTGTCACTTGTAAAACCAATGGCCTGCATTTTGCATCACTACACACTTTCTGCAACCCCCATCTCTATCCAACCTCGTTATCATGTGTACAATGAACCAGCCGCTGGGTCCAACTTCAACCTGGTTTCACAGTGATCAATACCAACTCTCAGATTACTCAAAACTGGTCATCTCTTTGATCGAAAGCACCCAGTTAACCTCTCCCAAAACCCAGGATGGGCCTCGGGAGTTTCAACAGGCTCCTTAAACCTGGCTTTCTCACTTAACTCTTCAAATGAATCCACCAAGTTTTGAAGCCTAGCGACAAATTCTATCAAGAGAGAAGCGAAAGTAGCTAAAGACAAGGCACTAGCACTCTCATAAGTCCTCTCCTCTTCAGTGTCCTCGGTCCCATCAAAGCTGAAAGAGTTTCGCGAAGGCCATGATATCTGCTTTTGGAACACCTCTCTGTTGGGCCCAACATGGGGCTTAGCATTCGCACTCAGGTTAGCATTAGGATTAGGGCTAGGAATAGGACTAGGGAGTCGTGGGTCCCAGCTCTTGGACAAGTGTAGAGGCCTGAGATCAAGAACAGTTTCGCTACGAGACTTTATTCCAAGGTAGTGGAGATTTTCAATTTGATCACTTTCTACTATGCCTGTTTCTTGGACATCATTACGCTGGGGTGCAATCTCCCAACACTCGGAGTTGACGAGAAGGTAAGAGCGCTTATCAATCTTCTTTTGGAGTTCTTCGGCTGCCTGATGAACTTCTGAAAGGATGTCCTCTTGGCCTAGTCTCTCCATTGCCTTAACCTTCCTTCCGAGCTCACGTAGAACTTTGGCACCCTCAGATCCCACCCTTTGCATCTCATTACTAAAAACAAGCCTCCTCTCTGGGGGTGCCTGTAGTTGTAAACTCATTAATTGTTGAGGATGTGAAAGGAATGCATACATGGGAAGAATACAGCATAATTATCATTTTGTTTATGGAAAGTATAACTATGGGAAAAACCATAGTTCACTGGGTCACCACCATCACATCCAAATATTTAAGAGTGGAGCCCTCTGAAACAGGAAATGATCCTAACTGCAGCTCCTACTCTCCCCCATCCATTTGATTGGGACTGATGACCCCAATGAGTTACGAGTATATATCACTGTCAATTGGATTGCCATAAGCCTCCCCATATATAGCAGAATATCAAAATTTGAATGACAAACAAACAAATAAACAATGCTTTGCGCAAGTTTAAGTTTGTCAAAGATCTCTGAAACTTTATTAAGGTAAATGCACCTAGCAAAGAAGAAAATGGTGAAAATGAGCATGCATTGAAAACTTGATCCCAAGTAGAGGGATCCTAAGGAGCTCCTAGCAATAAGGACAGCATTTTGAAATGGTAATTGGTGTTCATCCCAACTCCCACAATGTGAAACTATAATCTTAGGTTTTGTCTGGGATCGATAGGTAAGGCAGTCATGTGTGGTTACACCATACAGTAGGAAAGAAAAAATTCATGTTTCCAAAATATAATGTAAAATGCTGCTTATTAGCCGCATTCTGCAATACAATAGGAACGAGATTGTATAACCTAGAGCTCACAGCCAACACCATGTCATGTATTATGCCCCAGATCCATTCCAAAAGCATTACCAAACACAACGTGAGCTTTCAAAGAGAGAGGGGAAAAAAAAATCAATGGAGCTGCATGAGCAGGAGAGATGCAAAAGTCTGAACCAGCATCAGTTGGAAGGTACCAAACTGGCCTTCCCGAAGAACTAAGGATTAAACATGGCTTGAATATGGTTCCTTAAAATATACAAAATCAATATTATCCATATGATTTTCCATTTATCATAGTAGAATTTTTTGTAAATCATAAGATTCTATTTCTATCATCCTTGCCACAAAAGAGATATATTCAATGTCATTTCTCGTCTGGTAGCCTCAGAGTGGCTTTAGAAGGAAAGGCAGCCTTCCAAATCCTCCAAATCACCATCCAGAACCAAAAGGGAGAAACAAAACCAAGAAACAAAAAGTTCAAGTCGGTAAAAAATTAAATCGAGTCGAGATAGGATTTCATTTATAGTGCAGTCAAACTTGGATGAAAACTGAACTAAAATTCCATCATCTAAGGTCTGCTCCAAACTACACATGAACCCAAGTTTAAAATATGGCAGTGCAACTAGTGTGTGCTATAGATGTTGCCAGTATGGTGGTTCACACTTTAATCATCATCATCGTCAAAGCCTTATCCCAACTAATTGGGGTAACCTACACGAATCCTGGTCTGCCATTGTGCTCTATTAAGGGTCACACCCTTAGTGAGCCCATAAGTCCCCATATCTTTCCTCACTACTTCTAATTATGTCCTTTCACGCCTACCCCTTGCCCTTTTTAAGCCTTCCACTTGAACTAACTCACACCTCCTAACAGGTGTTGTACTGGGTCTGCATCATACATGGCTCCCCTCTCTCAACTTATCGTCTATTGGTGCAACACCTAAATTTTTCTGAATGTATTCATTTCGAATTCTATCCCTTCTTGTCTTGCCACTCATCCATCTCAACATCCACATTTCCACTACACTCATTCTACGGATATTTTGTTTTTTGAGTGCCCAACATTCTACCCCATAGGGCAAAGCTGGTCTCACTGTTGTCCTATAGAACTTACCCTTCAGCTTCATTGGTATGCGGCAATCACATAAAATTCCGGTTGCACATCTCCCCTTCGCCCACCAAGCTCTAATTCTATGTGCGACATCTTCCTCAATCTCTCTATTTTCTTGGACTATTGACCCAAGATATTAAAAGTGCGATCTTTTTGGCATTTCTTGGCCATCAATCTTAACTACTTCCTCGTCTTTACTCATATTATTACTAAACTTGCATTCCATATACTTTGTCTTTGTCTGACTAATTTTAAAACCTTTAGAATCTAGAGCATCCCTTCCCAAGTTCTAATTTTGTGTTGACACAGTTTCGAGTCTCATCAATCAAAACTATATCATCTGTGAACAACATGCACCACGGTACCTCATCTTGTAAGTGCCTAATTAAGTCGTCCATAATTAAGACAATGAGGTACAGGCTCAATGCGGACCCCTGATGTAGACCTATTGTCACTGAAAAATTACTCGTCCCTCCACTACTTGTTCATAAACTAGTTAGCACTCTATCGTACATATCTCTCACCAAGTTGATGTAATGTCTAGAGACTCCTTTCTTCTCTAATACCCACCGAATCAAGTCTCGAGGTACTCTATCATATGCTTTATCTAGATCAATAAAGACCATGTGGAGGTCTTTTCCCTTTGCCTTGAACTTCTCAATCAGTTGCCTAAGTTGTTGACCTCCCTGGTATAAAACCGAATTGGTTTTCTAATACATTTGTTCCATGCCTTAGTCGTTACTCAATTACTCTCTTCCAGAGCTTCATAGTTTGATCCCTCGATAGTTCACACAATTTTGTATATCTCATTTGATCTTATAAATAGGTACCACAATACTTTTCTTCCATTCGTCTGGCATTTACTTTGTTATCTGCAACTTGTTGAACAACTTGGTCAGCCAATCAATGCCAATCTCCCCCATGCACTTCCAAACTTTTATCAAGATTATCATCTGGTCCAAAAGTCTTTCCTATCTTCATCTTTTTCAAAGCTTCTTTTACTTCCAATATCCTAATCCTACGAATATATCTATCACCTCCGCTCTCATTTATGACAAGAGTTCCTTCTACCGCTATGCTCCTATTATGTTCGTCATTTAATAATTTTTTAAAATAAACTCTCCACCTTTCGTTGACCTCTTCATCCTTCACCAAGACCCTTTGAAGCTCACTCTTAATGCATTTAATATGATCTAGATCCCTGCACTTTTTCTTTCTCATTTTTGCTAATTTGAAGACATCTTTTTCACATTTTCTTGTTCCCAATTTACTGTATAAGTTATCATATGCCTTAAGTTTACCTTACTTATTAGTCGATTAGCATTTTTCATAACATTTTTATATTCTTCTAAGTTTTGATCATTTCTATTATTACACTGCCAAGTTTTATAACATGATTGTTTTCCGCTAATGGCCTTCCGAACCACAAGGTTCACACTTCAATCCTGAACCATAATACCTAGGACAATGGTCTATTTGCCATTTCAGCGAACCACTTGAAGAAAGCGGCACAAAAGCACAGATGGATGAGAAGCAAACTTTTATGCATAAGGTTTTACAATATGGTGGATATATAAAGTTCCAATTTTTTTTTTTTCAGAAAATAGTGTATGATAAAAATATTAGACAAAAGGGAAAAGTCAGAAATTACACAAAAAATAAAGGGGAATAAAATATTACACAAAAGGGAGACATGGTTCACCAATTGCAAAATAAATATAAACACAATGAAGAGAAAAATAAATTCTTTAGTTAAATTTTATGATTAGTTATTTATCACTAATAGTAAAATGCTATATTTCTAAGACACCACTACGCAACGAATGTGATTCACAATGGCCTACATACAAGGTGCAAGGTTCAAGGCCATGGCAGGCTGCATGCTTGCTGAGCTTGTGTTCTTTGTGAAGGTGAGTGCATTGGACTTGATCATATGTTAGGAAACTATTATTGACTACTTTTTTCATTGTAAAAAAACCAAATTCAATGTCAGAGATTGTTGGAAATATAAAAATCGAGGCTTAGTTCGCCTAATCACACAGCTCATATCTTTATTCAAGAAAGATGCCCAAGAGTTAGGGCATTTTTGGCCAATCTCCAATGAAGAAGAGTTAATGTTTGGGAGGGTTCATATACCCAGGTACCACTTAGACCAGATCAATTTAGTCTAAGGGCATTCAAACTAAAACTTAAGAAATGGGAAATTCCAATCCAAAGTAAAAAAAAAAACTTATTTTGGAAGAAGTAAATCAAAACCCCATTATACTAATCCATTTGTACGAGTATGATGAATGATGGTTTGCTAATCCCAGAGCTGGTGCTCCCCCCACCTCAAAAACCACTTTTGATGTTTGCAAGGGACCCAAAACTGCCTGTGATCAGTCAGTCTTCTTCACTCCAAAAACATTCTCCAAAAAGAAAACAACAATGGTTTGGAGCTCAGGAAACCCCAAACTATCATTTCCCATATAGAATTAACTTGCACTTTATATGGAAAATGTTTTATAGAATCACAATATATAGAGTTCATCCATATTTTAGATAATTACTAAATAACATATAAACTGGAACCATGTTTTAGGTAGTGAATAGCAATATGGGCATGAATTAGCAATGCCCATTATTTTTACAGAAGTTCATAAATTTAAACATATATGCATAGAACATATATAGATACATCATAGTTTACGAAGTGCAAGATTATGCCTTTCTTATTTTATAATTTTACGCCTAGATTCCCAGGAGCCCACCAAGGCAGGTCCTAGTGGCAAGCACTTCCAAGCAAGGTCGAAAAAAACACATTGAGGGCTCCAAATGCGCATATATGCATTTACTTTCTCCATTTGTGTATATTTAAGAATTTTTAGTTCTTGAATGGTGTAAAACAGATTGAAATCATTGAATCACATTTCACAATTGTAATAAGTCAGTATCAATGTAATATCAAATTAAGTAAGAATAAAAAGTCTTTTAAGATATAACAATGATATTTATGGATCCATAAAGCAATGAAAACAATGAAATAGTAAATAACTGAAATGCAATAGAAGTCAACAACCTAAAGTCCATAGTTCATAAGCTCGAAACTCCATAAACATTCCAAAATCCAAAGTTCCAACTTCCAAACTGCGAATGTAGTGAAAGTCGCAAAAGCAAAAAGATACAAAAAGTGTTCACTAAGAATTTGTAGTCAACCTACCGAATCTCATAAAAAAAAGTGAGATTCATAATG